ACATAAATAAGATAAATAGTTTTTGTAAAAGTTTTAAGAAAGAACATCTTTAATGAGTGTGTCACAGGCCATTCAGTTGAAGAAATATCATATTTAAGCCTGCTACAGTGGCCCATGCCTGTAATCTTAGCACTGAGAAGGTTGGGGCAGGAGGGCCAGTGTGTGAAGGCAGTATTGTCTACATAGTGGGTTCCAGGTCAGCCTATCTCAAATAATATTTGAAGTGTTCATTATTTTGAGTTTCACCAAGATCATCACTAAGATTTTTTGCAAGAAGTGGGAATAAATGTGTAATTCAATACAATTCACTACTTTCTTTAAAAATAAAAAATAAAACCTTCACTGTGCTGGGAATTGGTGAACGAGTTTCAGAGTTGACTCGGGTGAGTTTTCTCATTTCCTTTCCTTTGGGTTTTTCCAGAATACAAACTAGGATGGTGACTTTAACAATCTTGATGTTCATTCTAGATAAATATCCTATGATAAACACCATTAGTAAAGACTGAAGACACACCCTTTTCTTCAAAATGGAGGGGAGCAGTGGGATGTCTAATCACCACGAATGCTGCTGCCATTTTTTATTTAATCATAAGGAAATGTCTAGCCAAGAACAGACTGACACTGAACTCTGGATCTTACTGCTTCAATCTCCTGGTTTTCTGACTGTTCATGTGTTAGTATGAGTGTGTTGCCTGTGTGTGGACTTAAAATTCAGTAAATGAAACCATAGAGTGAATACAGGATACCGTTGAATTGAGCACCAGCCTGCCTTCTGAGAAGATCCTCCTGTTGCCCATAGAGTCAGGTTCTTATCAGTGCAAAGTTGAAAATGCACACATTTCTTGAAGTTTTATATTTCCCTAGAAAGCAGCATTACTTTTATCATTCCATGAGTAGTGTTTTGAAGCTTCACCTGTCATTATTTCTGCTTAAAACGGGTGGGCAGTCAGCATCGAGGTGTTCCCAAGGAAGATTGAATTTTGACTGCATTATGTTCTATGGAAAACTTGGATGAATTTTCCACATTAACTCCCTAAGTCTGATCTTTGAGGGAAAACATTCTTACATAATGACATGATTCAAGACAGACACTGAACATACTGCAAAAATGCAAAAGAGTTTAGAAGTCTTGATTTTGTGTTTATTCTTTGGCACACTGAACCTAGGTAATACACATTTGCAGTATTCTTCATGTGTGAGAGGAAGTGTACACATGGGCCTGTGTTCCTGGCTGTGTGTGTGCTTGTTGTGTAGGTGCATGTGCTTGCATATGGAGGCCAGAATTCGACAAGGAGTGTCTTCCTCTGTTGTCCCCCACCTTATTTTTTAAGACACTGTGTCCCAATGAACCTAAGGCTCACAGACTTGGTAAAGATTGTACAAGACCAATTGGCTAGCAGGCCCCAGGAGTCTTTCTGTCTCCACCTCCCCAATGCAGGGATGACTGACCTACAAGATTTCCATGGCACTGGATACAGTACTGGGGATATAAACTCAGCTCTCCATGCTTGTCTGGAAAGTACTTTAATAACTGAGTCATGTTTCCAACCCTGATCTTAGTAGATGTTTACACATTTGTCTTGTACATCTGAGACAGTGATATTTAAAGCATTCTTCATGTACCAGATTAAATGTCTGTACCTTGCCAAAATGAAGTTTTCAAGATACCAAACATGACAAGAAAAGAATGATTGAATATTGAATATTTTCTAAATGTGTTGTTAGGGAAGGTAACTGGTAATTTTATAGTTGGTTAAGATATGTTGCATATTTACACATCTCATGAGATCCAGCCTGGGGCTTCCACCTTGTTCCAAGAGTGATACTCTTGTGTCCAGATATCTATCTTGGCTCTGAAATGAAATGGCATCCATTTATTTTAGCAGCTTAGTGCTTCATTTGCTTCTCAATAGAAAGATGGAGTTATGAACATGCATCTGAGATGACTGTATGAAAGTCACAGTATAAAAGTTTCCTTAATCTGAAGTGAAGGGACACTTGCCTGCCTGTTAAGTTAATGAGACTGAAAATAGCTTTGGACTTTCCTTCTAAGCATGTTTTGTCTGCAACTGTTCTTCCTCCAGTCCCTTCACAATTACAGAAAATTCTCTCTTGGCTTAATTCAGTCATTTTACTTACTGATCCAATATTAATTCACTGGCCTATTTTATTTCCTATTGTCCATCTTCAGTACATTCCCACATTAATAATGGCAATGGGTTCACTAGTAAAAAGCCGGTTTTCACTGGGCGGTGGTGGCGCACGCCTTTAATCCCAGCACTCGGGAGGCAGAGCCAGGCGGATCTCTGTGAGTTCGAGGCCAGCCTGGTCTCCAAAGCGAGTTCCAGGAAAGGCGCAAAGCTACACAGAGAAACCCTGTCTCGAAAAACCAAAAAAAAAAAAAAAAAAAAAAAAAAAAAGCCGGTTTTCTTTACTTTAAATTTAGACTGACAAAATATTAGAATAGCCAATTCCTACCAGCTGTTAAGGACTTTTTAAAATAAAAGCTATGACAAAAGGAAAATACTAACCACAGAGTTATGCTCTCCTAGGTCACATGATATCAAGCCTGCTTTCTTAAAATTTAAAACCACAAAATACATTTACTCATCATCATGACATAATTTAGAGTTATATCATACAGTGAAAAACAAAGAAGTTTCCCTTTGTTTTCAAGTTCCAGACATGCTACTTTTTGAGATTCTGGGACAATAAACCAGTACCACAGGGATTCTCAGAGTTTTCAAAATTGTAATATTTTAAACATATTTCTAACAGCCTCTACACTCATAATTTGAACAGCTGAAAGTCTTGTTTAAAGAATAAACAGACAAAGTTAACTAGTACTTACGAAGAACTACATCCCACAGGGACATTTGATGAAACACACAATTTAAGGTTCGGATTTTCCAGTAAGATAAAAGGCCCTCATGGAATCACACATGGGCACTGCCCATTAAGGGCTAACAGCAAGTATTTTAGAATATTTTGTGGAAAATCTTGATGCCTTAAATGAGGAAACTATGTAGATTTTATATCTCAGAACCTCTGAAGTGGAAGGGAGAGAGTGCCATTCATTAATCGGGAGTGGGAGGTATTTGGATGTTGCGTGTTCACGTGTATGCTTGCTGGACTTAATGTGAGGTAAAAAGAGGGGGTGGAGAGATGGCTCAGGGGTGTAGAGCATTTGCTGCTCTTGCAGAGGATTCGGGCTGGTTCTCAGTTCGTACATGGTGGCTCACCACCATCATCACAGACTCAGTTCCAAGGGATCTGAAGCCATTTTCAGACTTTTGTGGGCCTTGTGCATGCATGTGACTCATATACATGCAGGTAAAACACTCATGCACAGAAAAAAGTAAAATGAACAAAATTTGAAAAATTATAAAAAGTATTTCTGTGAATGAAGCCTTTTTTTTTAAAGATCATTTCACTATGCAGCCTAGGTTAGTTCTGAACAAAAGATCTGGTACCTTATCCAAGTGCTGGGATTACAAAATGTACCTGGATTAATAAAGTATTTTAAATGATGTTTTATGCATTTAAAATTTACATTTGTGAAGAATACCATCTTTTTCTTAAAAACTTCTCCTTCTGGCATTAGAAATGTAGAGCTTGCTAATGAGTACATAAAGAACATTCATTCTGTTAGTGCCTGGATTTTAATAAAGACTGCTCTAGCCTAAGGTCCAATGATAACTTACCATCATTTTGTGCCATTGACTCTGAGGATACATTTCAGCTGATATCGGACACGACATTAATTCAGTATTAAGCACATGAGCAATGTTAGCGCACTGCACTATAGCTTTCCAAGTCACTGAAGGAAGATTTTTTTTTTTATCATCAATACTTTTTCTTTTCTTTTCTTTTCCCTGCAGAACTTGCCATTTGGAGTAACATGACTTTAAAACAGTCCAGCCATTAGAACTGTTGCTTATAGCCATTTAAATGTATACTTAAAATTTTATTTCAATTTTAGTTTCATTTTATTTTATGCCTCTGTGTGTGTGTGTGTGTGTGTGTGTGTGTGTGTGTGTGTGTGTGTGTGTGTGTGTTTGTACTGTGTATGTGCCTGGTACCCACGGAAAATAGAAAAGGGCATCAGATGATTGCAAGCCAGCGGGTGGGTGCTAAACATTGAACCCATGTCCCCTGGATGAGCAGCCACTGAACTTAACCTCTGGGTTATCTCTCTAGCCCCTAAATGTAGATTCTTCATAATCAAATATCCCTCCCCAAATTCAATCATAAGACTAATTTAATTCTATGAGTGAATAAAATACTAAGTGCTCGAATTATTGTGCTTAATTCATAGGAAACCAATGTTAATTGTTTCTTTAAAAGCAATAAACCAGAGACACCTAAACAGCTCACAACCACCTGTAATTCTAGCTTCATGGGATTGAGCAACCTCTTCTGACCACTGAGAATCCCTGTATTTGTATGTGCGTATTGACAGGCACACACACAAACGAACATTATTTTTAAAATATATATATTTAAAAGTTGACCATGGATGCAGAGTAAAAATAATTTATCTACTGAAAAATAATTTCAGGATCTTGGTTTTTCAGATAAAATTTCTTTCCAGCATTGATCAAGAACCATACCACCCGCCCCCCTCCCAAAAAAAGTCCTTGTGTCTTACAATCTAAACCAGTCAAAAACATGCTAGAAAAAAATTATTTAAAACATTTATTTCAGGGCCAGTGAGGTGTTTTCGTGGGTAAAGGCACATGCTCAACCTAGGAACCAAGTTCAAACCCCCAGGACTCATGTAGTGGGAGGAGAGAAATGACATGTACCTGCTGTCTGTCACTTGGCCATCACATGCGCACCATGGTAGGCGCAACCCCTCAAAAATGTGTAATATTTATCCTGATCTTATTCTTTAAAGAGAAAGATCCCAGAAGTCTAAGTTTTGTACGAAGTTATAACGTCTTGGGAGAAATTCATATTCTCTGTAATAAAGGCTAATATAACAATATATTCAAAGTGTAAGTGATTTGTAATCGTCAGCTCTTTTGAACTGTGCACGTCCTTCGTGTTTGTTGCAGCAGATCCCTGATTCTTAAAGTCAGACCCATCATGGAACACTTTTTGAATTTTAAGCATTTTATTTTAAATGAGACAGCAGCAGGCATTAATGTTATAGTTCGTGGGTAGTTCTCTCACTTAAGGAAAGTTTACAGTTTAGTATTGAAAAGCCTCACTTTGATGAAAATCCTGAATACTTATGGCTTAAGTGCTGTTTTAAACATGCTTTTTGTGGGGTGAGGAACAATTTTATTACTTTTTTCCTCCCTTCTTTTCCTTGCAGACAAGGTTTTTACAAGCAAGGCAGTACGTTCTCTATCTTCTGCAGGGAGACATTGAGTAACCTCATTTAAGCCTTGAGAGGCTAAAAACAAAGTTTCTTATCCATTGCTTGGGATACATTTTTAGATGTAAACTCTTGGCTTTAGAGACCCCAAAATAAATCTATAAGAAATATTTTCCCAGGGAAGTAGAGAGTTCCCACAGGTTAACTCAAATTTTGGCCCTTTGCCTGGGAAGAGGAAATTGTCCCAGAAGAAAGCCATCAGTCATATGGAGTCACAGTACTTCCGCTCAGTTGACTTTTAAGGAAAACAGCAGTAACTCAGAACTCTTATTTACTGCTATCTTTTGAAAACGTTTCATGACCTGTGCACTTTTTATATCACAGTCTGAAGCAAATGTACTTCAAAGCTTCCTGTTGGAAAGAGCGAACATGAAGTCATCTGTAGAGAGAATTAGATCATAGTCTTTGTGGAAAATGTGTAGGGTTGCATATCCTTTTCATTTGCACCTCTCATTACCACGGAGCATACTTGAAATTAAGAAAGAAAGAGAGAAAGAAAGAGAGGAAGAGAGAAAAAGAAAGAGAGAAAGAAAGAACATGTTAATGTACCAGTGGCTAGGCTTTCTTTTTCCTGCCTTTTTAAAGCTCAGATACACAAAGCTGTGCGTTTAAGAGAATAAGTAAGCTTTTTATTTAATTTTTTTATTTTTGAGATAGATTTGTGTCGTTGACTAATCTGAGATTCCAGGCAATAGTTGTATGCTGCAATTTAGTTATAATGTATTTTCCGTCTATTTTGTGTAAGTGTTAAAGGGTGGACAGATAGAATACAGAGAATTATAACACAGAGTGTGGAAGAACAGTAAATTAAAGCTCCTAATTAAAAAAAAAACCCTATAAATTTGGAAGAGGTGATGTGGGTTTAGTTAACTATTAGACACTTACGTAAGCATTAGGTAAATATTTTGGGTGTTCTAAGTCAGTGTTCCCAAGATGAGAGACCAACTCTTGTACTGAAAGAATGCCACCTCCGTGCCAGAATTTTAGCCCACACTGAGAGGTCCCTGCTGGCGAAGTGGTTGGTTAGAGTGAGTGAGTGTGTGTGTGTGTGTGTGTGTGTGTGTGTGTGTGTGTGTGTGTGGTGGGTGGTACAGTGCAATTATAGCTTCTGTAGTTTTCCCATCGTTTTTCGATTTTACCTCGTCTCCAAAGTTGGCAAAGATTCTCCATTAATGCTGGGCTCTCACGGAAGTAACATTTAAAAAGTATATGGTTCCCTTTCAGTAAGAATGTTTTGGAACTCCGCTGTGATTTTAAGCCCCCACCCACTTCACCAAACCCAGCAAATGGAAGAAGCCAGGCCTCTAGTGAACCATTGGGCAGCTGATGCTAGCACAAATGGGAGGGACCAGGGAGCAGCTGAGAGGCCTTCTGTGGCCCCAAATCGTTTGGGGTTTGCCCCTAGAAGAATTCATTGATCTGAGTTTGGCCGGTGCAGAAGAGGAGAGCCTAGGAGAGTGGGAGGCTTGGGTGGGGGAAGTCAGATACCCCATCCCTAACCTTCCCCCAAAGGTACCTAGATGCCTGGGGAATCCCTCCCAAGCACCGTAGCTCTCACCTTCGGAGAGTCAAGTTTCTTTAGGAGCGTTAGACACCTGTGTGAGGCGCTCCCTGTGGGAAAGGTGGCGTAGGGGACGCCAGAGCTCCATCCACACCGCTTTCCTCTGTGAGGCTGCGGTTACAATCCCTCCAGAAGTCAGAGCTGTTAGCATGCACACTCTGCTCTCTTCCTTGGTCGACAGGAACCTAGCCCCACATTCTGGAGACGGAGCCCGCTGACGCCTCTCCAGTTTGCTCCGGGTCCTCTCCCTCCCACCTCTCCACCTCCAAAGTAGCGCTCCAGCCTCTCTCCGCCCGCACAGCCCCAGCGCCCCCGAGCTTTATCAGGCTCCCCACACACATCGTTGGCTTCCTTTGGCACCCGGCGCTGGTGACCCTGGCGGAGCAGCCGCCTCCTCCGAGCCCAGTCCCCCTCCTCCCGCCCGCGGGTCACCGCGCCTCCAGGCTCTGCTCCCCCAGGCACCGCGGCGCCCACCGCCTTTCAGGTTCATCCTGAGCTGGACCTGTTTTGCTCATCCCTAAACCCGGAGAAGTGGAATCTGCACACTGAAACTCTCGGTGGCTGGAGCGGCGGACTGGGCATGCTCAGAAGCCAGGTTTGGCTTTGGTCTCAAGTCGAAGGAAGCTTTTGCACTCGCGAGGCAGCGGCGACTTTAGGGAAAGTTGATCCGAGAGGGGAGGAAGCCCCAAGACGCGGAGCAGCGGCAGGAAGGAGCCCCCGGCAGCCCGGAGGAGCATGGGCACCCTGCGGGATTTACAGTACGCGCTCCAGGAGAAGATCGAGGAGCTGAGGCAGCGGGATGCTCTCATCGATGAGCTGGAGCTGGAGTTGGATCAGAAGGACGAACTGATCCAGAAGCTGCAGAACGAACTGGACAAGTACCGCTCGGTGATCCGGCCCGCCACCCAGCAGGCGCAGAAGCAGAGCGCCAGCACCTTGCAGGGTGAACCGCGCACCAAGCGCCAGGCGATCTCCGCGGAGCCCACCGCCTTCGACATCCAGGATCTCAGCCACGTGACCCTGCCCTTCTACCCCAAGAGCCCACAGTAAGCAGGGTTACGCGCCCGGGGCCATGTGGCGCCCTGGCGGTGGGGAGCTGCGGGTCTCTGTATTGTCTGTCGGCCCCTGCCCCTCCCGCTTGCCATGTCTGTCCTCATCCTCAGAAATGTCTCATTTTCACGGCACTTCTTGAGGGGCTGTGCACGTTTCTCAGGGCCAGACTCCCTGCACATCCGTTGCCTCCGTGTCTTTGTCAGATGCCAAGGTATTTTTAAAATATGCATATACGTTCATAGATGCCACCTACTGTACATAAGAGTTTGGACGCGCCCCAGGTGTGTGTCTGACCGTGTGTGTGAGTGACTGTTGAATGGAGGAATCAGAACCCCGTCTCCCCCAAAGCCCCAGCCAACCTGGCCAGCCGGAAAATCCTAACTGCAGGCTCATCAGACTGAAATGAAATGCGTTGATATTACCCTGACTTTCCACGCTCTTGTGGCTCTCCTGGATTTTTCTACATGCCGCCGGCACTTCATGCTGGTACCGTTCAAACCTGATGTTCTGTCACCATCAAAGTGCAAAAGAATAAGTCAATATACATATAAAACAGAAGGTTTTTTTTTTTTTAAATTTCCCGAGTTGGATGACATTTACAACCCATAAATGGAAGCCTAGTCTGTTGATTCTTAAAAAAAAAAAAATGTTTTCATAATATCCGAGAGAATGTTACTTGTTTTCCTAAAAGAATTCTCACATGATTACTAATGACCATTTCCCTAGAGGGTTTGTGTATTTTCAGGGACAGTGTGGTCAAGCTCACCACGTTATTGCCCGTGTGGACCATGCTGTACCTCACACTCAGGTCTAAAGTCACTCTGCTGCTGCTCTAGCATGTTAGAGAGCAGTGTAGTTCTGATGTCAGTAGGATTCATAACTTGGATAGGAACACTGAATGAAACTTGTTACACAACACTCAACCCCAGAGTCCATATGGAGAGCAAGCAGCAGGGACAGGACGCTAACAGAACCAGAACACCATCTGAATGGCATTTTAATTAATAGTAATGACATAATTGGTAAAGCAGAGGATTCTGTTGTCCTCCTCTTAACTACATAACACGGCTGCATGACACGTGTTACATAATGGCCGAAGGTCCCCGGGAAACCTTTACTTCATAAACACAGGGAATTCATAAGAGGAGAAAGTGCATGCTTGCTTATCTCCATTTATATTTCTCAGATGGGAGGGGTCATGAGTATGCACTACGTACACTGTTTGAAAACTTACAAGCCCAATCTATGCATGTTGGCTCCCATGAATCATTTGCGGGCTTAGCTGAAGGAGTTTGAATTCTGTGGAGTAGGGGAGAGTTGATAGAGATAACTACTGAGATTCCGACCTTGCCAAGTTACCATGATAGATCAGCGGATGTCAATTTGTCTTAGAGACCCGAGTGATCTGAATCCATTGGAGCTTTCTTTGGTAAATTAATTTGCAGTCACTGGCATGTTCTCCTATTTCAGCTAACAAGGTACATGGCCATCTCCCCTGGGCCAAGTTTTGCAGAAAATATAACTCAGTGACAGCTCTTTGTATCTTAAACAGTCTACAGGATAGTCATTTTAGTATCTGCAGGACTTTGGAGTAACCCAGAACAAACTCAGCTCTTATAAAAAGACCATTTTTAATAGGCTTTTAGATGCAATATGATCAACCCAGCCGATAACTCCAGTTAAGTATTCTATTTGAGAAAGTCTAAAGAAATCCAGGCAGCAGGAATGAACTGTAGAATGTGGAACATTGAGAAAGCTCTTGACACAGGACACTGGTGTTTTGATAAAAGTCCACAGTGGAAAATAAAATTAGAAAAGCACATGCTTTGTAGTATCCCTGTAGGACAAACATTGAATCTATTGAACATGCTTTGCACTCTGGTACCTATTTGATAACTTTAAGGACTCAGTTGTTAAGGTGGTATTGCCATGTGAGTTTTGTAATTCTGAAGGATTATATTGGAGAAAATGATAAAATGTCTTCCAAGTTTAAATAATTTTGGAAAAACATCTGTTCTTTTTTTCACACTTACATAAAGGAAACCAGAATAAAATTGCCTTGAGTGGTAGTATACCTTCCTTGGGGAAAAGAAGTACATTGTATGCGAAATAGTTATTATTCTCGACCATTGGAGTACAAGGTCTCCACATAGAACTACGAAAACGTGCCACTCTAAAAACATTTTTTTTTGCATTTCAATGTAATTTGTTGGAATCTTTTTAATATTCAGACTTACTGGCAACACGTGTTTATGTTTTTAATCTTTATTGCAACTTAAATTTAATCACTTTCCTAAAGATTAAGGTTGAAGTGAAGAAACTATCTAAGAAGACTGGACTGGATTTCAGCTGCACATTCCTTTTAGTTTCTTGTTATCTTTCCAGTAGATGTAGTTCATGACTGATGTTCTGTTCAATTACCGGATGACTGGAAGACACCTTCTAGTGTTCCCTTACTGAGGTTGCCTTTTGAGAATTACGATATTTTAAAACTTCTTTTTTTCTTAGTAACTATTGATCATTTGAGTTATAAAAAGCAGTATAAAATTTAAAGCAGTCCGATAACTTTTATCATCTTAAGGGTTCTTCATTGGGATTTTTCTCTCTAAGGTGAGAATTGGAAGAAAGCCTCTGTTGGATTCCACCACAGAGGAAGACAATTCTGCTGCACCTGTGAGATGGGGGAAGCATGTGTGGGGGTGTTGGTCTTTCACAATCTGTATAGATATAACCTTTAAACCCTTTTTAGGCTATTTACGAATGTGCTAGAAGAACTGATGTAGCAAATTGGAATCTGTATTATACTGCTGCCAAGGAACTACTTAACAATGTAAAACCACTAGATTCTATGTTCCAAAATACATCTAGCAAAAGCTCCTTAACAATGGAACAAACAAACAAACCCAGTCATCCAGTCTGTGAGATCAGGACACCTGATGGGCCACATGAACTTCTAAAATCATTTTATTTAATGACATTTTGTTCCTAAAGATGCTCTCGCTGTCCCCAAATCTTCGTTTGCTGTCACAGCCTTCCATGTCATTTCAGCTGGACTACCTCATCTCGAGCTCCTATCAAAACTTGTTAATGTCTGCATGTTTTTGTAGAGCTGTTGCATTTATCCCTGAGGTGGCCTCACTTCAGAGAATGATGACATGTTCTATTCTGTTTCTCTTTGTGATTGTGAAATGCTTTGGAAGAGTTGGAGATAAGAGAGAAAGATAGAGAATTTTTCTATCTTTAGGTAGGAATCAAAATTTAAAAGATCCTATGTGATCTTCTAAACCTTGATATTATAGTCCAAGAGAAACAATATCTCCCTAAGTGGTATGTATTTAATTCTGAAGGAAGTCATGGAAATCATGGAATTCTAGGGTGATTATACATAAGCTAATATTAAAACATAGATTTCTGTGAAGGTATTAAATTTCTAATAAGCTTTATAAGTTAGTTCAATACTTGTATGTGATACCGTCCATATGGAAAATCTTGTAAGGCACGTAAGCCTTGCCTTTACAGACTTAGCAAGGGACCCAACGATATTATACAAGTCAATATTTTAGGAACTTGTGTAAGGTGAAATGCAGAGCAGTTCACTCCAACAGTTGGAGGATTCTGTGGCTCCTAATGAACTGTGTGGTATCAGGAACTCCCCAAAAGTACATGTTGTTTGTATTGTAGGACTGGTAAGATTGCCATGATTTAAATAAAGCACTTCACAGTGTGAAGGGAGGAGCGAGGGATGTGGGAGTTACAGCTCAAGCCATCAGCAGAGACAGGGCACATCCAGAGAACGGTGGCAACCAGGGGCTTTCCCGGAGTGCCATGGAGGGAACTAACACTCAGTTTCTACGATATTATATTATAAAGTGGATTAAGAGGAACTTACTCTTGCTTTTAGAATGGTCAAGAATGGTGTGTGTGTGTGTGTGTGTGTGTGTGTGTGTGTGTGTGTGTGTGTGTGTATGTGTGTGTGTGTGTTTCAGCAGGGGTAGGTAGTAGTGAAGTTCTGAATATCAGAGTGTGGTTCTAACCTTCCACCACAACTACACTAACTAGATAAGAATATTTAACCTAACCAAAAAGCAGATGATGGAGATTCTTAAAGAAACCAAGGTCCACTCTTAAAGAAACCAAATACCTTTCTGAGTACCATTGAAAACAGTTTAGTTATATGCCATAGGCCCGCTCCTCAGATTCTTCACACGCCTGGGCAGACTGATAGAGATGAGAATGTAATCTTGTTAGTTATTCAAATTCATCTCCCTTGCTTCTGTGGGGGAGCTAAATTCTGACCCAAGGTTATTATAATAGTTTCCAATTTAAGTTTGAACATTAATTTGACATTGCAGCCTATTCAGTGAAACAAAATTTGTACAAAGGCTTTATAATATTATATGGGATCATGTTGCTAAATATCCTGTTAGGGTGTTTGGAAGTACAGTCAAGTTGCTTGCCCCTAAAATGGGACTTACAATGAAAACACTGGGAAGCCTTAAATAGAGTAGCTCTAGGCACTGCCTGAGAATATAAATGACCATCTTTCTTGCTCTACTGGGGTACATTTCCAGGCTCTCACTATTTAGTGTTTCATTAAAGAGTTGGTTTGGATTTCTGTTAGAAAAGGGTAGAATAAGACACGTGATGTTTCCATTGTTGCTCTTTGCAGGTTATAAGGCATATGGGCATATTTTTTTTTCCTGTCTGCCTAGCAATGGAGGGTCTCCATGGTATCCTAGCAACCATATTTGAACACCAGGCTGCTGCTCTTTCTGCTATCTCTACCATAGGTGCTGCTGCCCATCCCAAGGAACTGGGATTGCTGCTAGCATCTCAGGCCCTCTGCCTTGAACCTTCCTGGCACTGAGAACACAAGACAATGTGACAAATACTCACGTGCTCAAAACAGCACTTACCAGCACGCTCAACAGCTTATTATGCAATCACATCTGTGGCATTTTGAATCTTAATCTGAATTGTTGAGCTGGTGTGT